CCTCCATGCGACTGCATCAGCCGACGCCGGACCCGACTACCCGTCAATCTCTTCGCTAATCAGTCAGGGGCGGACCAGTTCTACTGACTTGAAGGTTAGAAGTTTTACTCAAATTTTTTCTTTGAATTCTTCTCCGTAAGACCGTAAGTCCGTAATTGCTCTGTTGCTTCTGCAATAGTCAATAGTCTTAGCCAGTTAGTTAGTTCTATTTCTAAATTTGGATTTAATTATGTACAATACAATTAATCAATTATGATTCATGTTCGGTTCCTGCCCAATAAATATAATTTAGGAATTTCTGATTTAGGGCTTTGATTTAGGAAATTGACCTTTTCTGATTTAGGGCTTTGTTACTTATTTATATGTAAATTGATAATATTGATTTGGGAAGATTGAAACTTTGTCTGATTTTTGGTAGGTATGACATAGTATAAACTGATTTAGGCATTTTTAATTTGTTGATTTTTCATTTTTGGTTTGTTTCAGTTATCGAAAAATACTTTAAACTTACATTTACGATTTCTTGTGATGAACAAAATATCGACGAAAGGAATGTTCGAAAGAAAAGGGATGAAAACGATGTTGGGGATGTTGATGTTGATGTTGATGTTGGAGATATAGGGGGGTATTAGAGACGTTGGAGATGTTGATGTTGGATTTGGGGGTATTGGAGACGTTGGAAATGTTGAGGATATTGGAGATGTTGGGGATAGTGGAGGAAATGTTGAGGATATTGGAGATGTTGGAGATGTTGGGGATGTTGATGTTGCACAGCTTCCCTCTGATCCTAGATTGAGAGTTCCAATACAGAATTATGATGTTAATATTCAAGATGTGATTCGAAGAGCATATATGCAAAGAGATCCTTGTCAGCCTCGCAATCATATATTTCCACCCACAAGAATAGGTAAAATAGACTGACGATTTTGTGTTTCGTGGTATAATGAGCATCCAACTTGGTTGGAATACGGTATAGTAAAGGATGCAGTTTTTTGCTTTTACTGTTATCTTTTCGATTTGAATGGTGGTTCATTTGTTAAAGGCGGATTCTCAAATTGGAAAAAGAAAGAATATATAAGAAAACATGTTGGGGCTTCAAGTAGTGCACACAATCAAACTCGGGTCAAATATGAATTGTTCAAGAATCAAGAACAAAGTATTCAATCTTGTCTAGTTAAACAATGGCATCAAGCTCGAACAAATTATCGAGTCCGATTAAATGCTTCAATTGATTGTGTTCAATTTCTTCTACGACAAGGAATGGCATTTTGTGGACATGATGAATATGAAGATTCAAACAATCAAGGAAACTTTTTTGAACTATTGCATTGGTTGTGTGATCATAATCCTGAGATTAAGGCCGTTGCTTTGACAAATGCACTTGAGAATTTGAAATTAACATCACCAAGAGTGCAAAAAGATATTGTAAGTGTTATTGCTTCTAAATGTCTACATGTGATTATCGAAAATGTTCGTGATAGTTTCTTCTCAATTTTAGTTGATGAATCTCGAGACATTTCTGTGAAAGAGCAAATGTCAGTTGTCGTTCGTTATGTGAAAAATGGGTGTATATTGGAACATTTTATTGGTGTCGTTCATGTTTTGAATACCACAGCTGCCTCACTTAATGCTGCAATTGATCAATTATTCTCAACGCATAGCTTAAGCATATCTAATTTGAGAGTTTAGGGATTTGATGGAGCTAGTAACATGCGAGGTGATTATAATGGCCTCAAAGCACTTATTTTGAAAGAAAATCCAAGTGCTTACTACATTCATTGATTTGCTCATCAACTTCAACTAGCTCTTGTAGCTGTGGCACAGAAATATCCGAAGATTGAAACTTTCTTCACTACAGTACATAGATTGGTGAATATTGTTGGAGGATCAGCTAAACGGAGTGATTTTATTCGAGAGAACCAAAGATTGAAAATTCTTGAATCACTCAGTGTTGGTGAAATATCAAGCGGACGGGGTCTCAATCAAGAAATTACTCTTCAGCGTCTCGGTGATACACGTTGGGGCTCTCACTATAGTTGTTTAATTAACTTGATTGCCATGTTTTCAACCATAGTCGACGTCATTGAGATGATTGCTACTGATAATACAAGTACCGGAACAAGAGGTGATGCATGCATTTCATTGGAGTTGATGTTAAGATTTGAATTTGCATTTAATCTACATCTCATGAAAAATATTTTAGGGATTTCAAACGCATTGTCAAGAACATTACAAAGAAAAGATCAAGATATTGTCAATGCTATAAAATTGGTGCAAATATGTAAAACACAGCTTCAAACCATGAGAGATGATGGATGTGATTCTTTTTTGGGAGTGATTTGTTCGTTTTGTGAAACTCATAAGATCAATGTTCTCGATATGGATGATATGTTTGTAACTGTAGGTCATTCACGACGTGAGACAGTGACAAATTTGCATCATTTTCGTGTGGAAATATTTTATGCCGTCATTGATATACAACTTCAAGAGTTGAATGATCGTTTTTCTGAATAAATAGTGACTTACTTATTTGTGTTGCGTGTTTATCTCCGAATAATTCATTTGCTGCTTTTGACAAGATCAAGTTGATTCGACTATGTCAGTATTATTCGGTAGATTTTGATGCAGCAGATATCCTAGAACTTGATGATCAACTAGATACGTATATTCTTGATATGCGCACTTTTGAAGACTTTGAAGAATTACAAGGCATTAGGGATCTTGCACAGAAGTTGGTTGTGAAGAATAAACATGAAGTGTATCCATTAGTCTACAAACTTGT